TAATTATATAATATATATTATATATTAATTATATATTATATATTATATATTAATTATATATTATATAATAATTAAATAAATGATTATTTCTGTTATGTAAGTATATATGTATATCAATATGCGATAAAATAAGAAAATATAATATAAATGCATATGTAATTTATATATATTTATATTTATATTCTATTATATATATTATATTTATATATAAGGTGACCAAGAAGGAAACCAAATAATTTTATTCATAAAAAAAATAACGATCTTCGTAAGATGATATACAGTATAATACAAGAAATCTGCAATGTTATTAACAACATTAAAAATTAAATTAGAATGATCTGTCAACGGTCATTAAAATCTATGTTTACGACAGGAAAGTCATTTTGAATACCTCCTTTAACTTATACGACTAAAAAAATATATAAAATATATGAAAAATAAAAAATTATTTCTCTATTCCAATTGTATAAATGTAAAATATCAAAATTTATTTTTTGAAATAAAAAATAAATGAATCAAAACCCATAGCATATATGATCTTTTTTATTCAGAACAGACTAATGAAATATTCCATTTCATTTTTATTCCTGAATATTTCATCCTGAATATTTTTATTTCTAAAAAGTTTTGATCACACATTTTTTAATTAGTTGTATTCTTGTATGTGTAATTCCTAATAGTGATGACATTAACAACCTGATAACATTAAATACCTGAAATTAAAATTTTATATTTAGAATCCTTCTCTATGTTACTTTCACGTCGATTAGGAAACTGGTGTTTTTCGGAACTATAGCAGAAAACTATCTCTCTGAAGTAAAGTTTTATATTTCCAGTAGTAGTAGTATATTGCTTAAAAAAATTAGGAGATATTATACTCTAATACTTTCAGCTTTTTGTATAATGAATGTTCACCAATGAAATAAAAGTCAACAACAACAATCAATCAAACAAAAATCAAATACAAAATCATATCAATATCCCCTAATTTTTGTGAGCAGTGTAGTAATAATAAGAATGGCCGCGGTTCTTTGGGTTGCTGCTCTGAGTAGTCCCTCCATTAAGTCATGAAATACTCCTAATCACATCTTCTTGTTATTTAGGCTTCAGGCAAAATTCCTGACCGTGGATCCAGGAAATGGATAAAAGGACCGGCAGCAGAATCGATTCCCAAGTTTTGGCCACAATTCCAGCTTCTATATGGGGCCTTAGCCATCACTGACTGTTTAATTTATTTTTATGTCCCTAAATAGAGAACACTCTGAATGTAAAATTTTAACTACGAATTTTTATTGTTATATCTATATAGAATTATAGTAATCTCTATGTTATTATTATCCCTGACTGAATTATTACTATATTTCATTTTAGTGACTTTTCCGAATTTTGTCCATAGAGTTTTTTCCTTGATTTTGATTTTTTCTTTAATATATCGTTAAAATGAGAAATTGGTTATGTCATCAAAATAAGAAAAAAGGTTAAGAAAGTAATGTATTTTTTTTTAGATTAAGAACTATAATATAATTTTATGACATTAATTATAACCTAGCCTTTAATTAAAACAGCTGTTAAAGCAATTACATACCTAGCAAGTGAAGGACTTTGTAATCCGAATTGACCGGAATATTTTTTCTTTTATTTTTTGTAAAAATAAAAATAAATGAAAATATAATACACTATTTTTAATTATAATTGTAAAAATAAATGAAAATATAATACACTATTTTTTCAGTACCAATAATTAAACAATTGTAAATTTTGAAGTATGTCACTGTTGTGAATTTTTGATTCTATATCTTGATTTTTATGTTGATAGTAATTAAAATTTTATATTTCTCTAAAAATATATTTCATTATTTTTATTGCATAGCTGCTTATATATGTAAAAAACGTAAAATAAATAAATTATTTAAAAAATTAAAGAATGTTGCTTATACATGTGTAAGATAAATGAATTATTTTAAAAAATTAAAGAATAGTATAATTATTAAATACACTGTTTTAAATTATTTTTTGTGACAAAGAATATTTTAAGTTTTATTATTAATACCTATACAACGTAAGATTCAAGGTCGACAAGATAGCAATGACTCATATTTCCAAAGATGTTCATGTGTTCTTTGCAATTCTTAAGACTTGATTTGTCATTGCATTGTAGACATTTAAAAATTACAATAATAACGCCACGTTATCAAATGTTGCAAATCAAACCAATCAACTTTTCAAGTACTATATGATTTGTATTTAAATATTTAATAAATGGCTCAATTTTGCGAATTTATAAGTAATATAAGTAATCGTAAATTTCAAAGTAAATAGAAAATAATATTTGTAATTGTTATCTTTTTATAATTCATATATATATATATATATATATATATATATATATATATTCATATATCATCTTATATAAAATCCTTATATAAAATCACCTTATATAAAAACCTTATAAAAAATCACCTTACATTGCTTCATATTATTTAGTTTATTATACATACATAAACAATTTGTCTTCTAAACAATATTATTTTAAATTAATTATTTGCAAAATTATACTACATTCTTTAATACTATTTTATTCAATTTTTTTTAGTATGTAATATATTAAATATAGATTTTAATTTTTTTCATGTAATAATATACGAAAGTATAAATATTCATAAGAAAATATAAGAGATAATAGTTAAAATTGTCGATATAATTAAAGTAATTGTACAAAAATTAAGAAAAGACAATTCTGCAGAGGACGCTACTGTTTTAAAACTGAATGTATTCCTAAGTCTACTGTTCAACATCAACCTAAAAAGTTGTAAATACATAATTCGTAGTTGTTTGGAACAAAATTGATTCTTCAACATGACAATTTATATATAAAATTACCGAGAAATTTATAATAGAAATGTGAATTGTATCATGAAAAACCATTGAATTATTTTGGTAAAGCATCAGATATTTCACGCATTTCGACTTTTTAGTAAAAGTGTAAATATATTTTTTCATTTAAGTTACAAATTACTAAATATAATTAAACCTAGAGAAGCACTTTCGTATTCTTTCGTTTCTAAATAATTCAATAATTAAAAAAAAATTATATAATATATGACATGATATTACAAATTTAGTTTTATTTGTAAACAGATCAGCATATACATTGCATTGTTTGATTAGAAAATATAGAATCGCATTAAAAAAAGTATTTTGCAATACGCATATATTATTTTTTATAAATTGAATTAATATAAAATATTTGGAAATTAAACTCTGAATTCATGTAAATATTTAGAAACTAAAGATGTACTTTTTTTTGTATTAAACATAATATAAAAATTATGATGTTATTTTAAACAAAAAATAGAAACATTATGAAAATTTATAAATAAAAATTTTATTTTTTGTTTAACAAAAAAGTATTTAATGTAATTGACAAAATACTTTAGTACATAGTATGAAATATAACATAATTAAGAATTATTGTAATATACATTTAATATATGTAATAGATTATATATATAAATTTGACATAGGTTGTTGAAAATAAAAAATATATTAATCTTTTGAAGTCAAGTAGGAAGGATTGTTCTTATATGTACCTTGTGAATGTTCTTTTTATAGACAAAATTTGACCTCCTTTTCTTCAATACCTATTGCATTCAAGTGCCAGCTGTTTTTGAGTGCTGATCATGCAATAACAAAACAGATCATGCCAAATAGGTATATTTTTTATATATTTTAATTGTAATATATATATATATAATTATGTAATAATGTATAATAGTGTAATGATATGTAATAATTATATGAGTTATTATGTTTTATCATTTGATTACAAAAGTAATTTGTTTATTAAGGAAACTGTTACTGCAAGCGAATTTAAATTTTATGAAGTAGAATAATAGAATATATCTTTCCTTAACATTATTATTTGATACATATTTATTTTACGATTTCATTTTTATAAGCAAGATTATTATGATAATAAAAATTTCATATTTTTTATTGTTTAAAATAGACTTAAACATTGTTTAATACATGATATTTTATTAGGAACAAAATTTTGGTTGGTGCTGGAATAATATGGAGTATTACTCTTTGTTATCTCTTTATTAATCGCAAACTTCCACACTCAATGACACTGTTAAATTTTATTCCTGGTATTTTATTTTGGTCAGTGTGTCTTTGTGTAGTGAGATCTCTAGTGTTATTTATTATACTATTTCATATTTAATTAGTGTATTATGAAAAATAATTCTTTTTTTTTATTAATTGAATGGTGAATATTTAACAACTAAGTATTAATATTGTATATTTTCAACATGATATTGTGTTTTGTCTTAATGTTATTAACTTTACATTACAATAGATATTTTATTTGTTATTACAATTAAATTTATATTATATATTATTATAGGAAACAAAAAATGGAAAACGATGAAGAACAAAAATACAATATCAAAGAAGCTAGCACATCTGTACCTGTAGGTTATCAATCTGATTCTCATCTTGAGACAGAAGAAGAAAATGTAAAAGGGTATAAATCACTTTCCTTTTCTTTTAATTAAAATATAATATAATTATTCTTTTAATTTATTCATCAATGAATATATTCAGATTTCATATTAATATTTTTTGTAATTAAATGCATATCATACAGGCCAAAAACATCAAATTTTATGGTAGGCGGTTTAATAGGAGCATCACCACCAAAATTTGTTTCTCTTGAAGAAATTATAAAAGCTGCAAATGGCATGAAGAATATGGCATTAGCACATGAAATTGCAGTGGATAAAAATTTTCAGTTGCAAAAACTGGAACCTGATGATGGTACATTTCACAGGAAAGTAAAAGAAATTATGCATAAAGCTTTTTGGAATTTATTAGCGGAACAATTAGACGAAGATCCTCCAAATTATACGCAGGCATTGGTTTTATTGAAGGAAATTAAAGAAGTAATATATTTACATGGTTTCTTTTTTAAGTAATGCATAATTTCTATATCTATGTTTAATAATCTTTTCCTTTTATAGACATTAGATGAACTAGTATTACCACATCATGCAAAAATTCGAGAAAATTTAAATGAAGTACTTGATGAAGATTTAATTAAACAGCAAGCAGAAAACTGTGTTTTGAACTTCCATCATTATGCACAATATGTGATATCCATTATGAGTAAAGTTTGTGCACCAGTAAGAGATGAAAAAATTCGAGAACTTAGTCAAAAAACAGATGTTATTGAAATATTCAAAGGAATAATGGAAGTATTACAATTAATGCGTCTTGATTTAGCAAATTTTACTATTACTATGATGAGACCAAATATAGTTGCTTCAAGTATTGAATATGAAAAAGCCAAGTTTGCTGAATTCTTAAAAGTTAACACAAATGGTCTACAATTTACAGAAAAATGGTTGTTAAGGCACTTTGATTCAATAAATGTTTCAAGCAGTTCATCTGACATTAATACTGTGCGTCAGCTAACACATTGCCTTCTAACTGAAGCATATCTTGATCTTTTAGAATGGGATTTTAGTCCAAATGCAGAAGTACATATACAAATATTTATGTTAATAATATAATTAGTTTTTGATTACTTGAATTAATAATAGAAATTTTGTCATCTGTTTCATAGACCTTGATGCTTGATCAAAGTAGATTACTGGAATTGCGTGATAAGACTAGCAGATTAAGCATCATAGGATCTGCAATATTGCTAGTAAACAATGCAGTGGGTGCACCAATTCTTGGTGTATCAAGTTTTAAGAAGAATATTAAACAACATCTTAGTGTATTGTTAGAGTCTGTACATTCAAATAAGTATGTATATAGTAATATATGATATATACATATGTATAGTATACTATATACAAGTAATAAAATTATAAGTTAATTTTTTTACATTAGTAATTATATTACACTAATTATTATTATTAGGGATTTGGAAAGTATAATACCAAATATTGTATTGCAAGTAAAAACAGATTTAAAAATAACATTGGAAGAAATTAATGCTATTCCACTATCTTCAGAGATAGAAACATTATTAGAAGGCCAAATATTGGATCTTATTAATCCAGAACATAAAATAAGACATCTTATAAGTAAGTATTATATATAAACTATGAAATTCATCTATTTTATTTTACACATCTATTTCTAGATTTAAGAATTCGACAATTTTTGCAAAAAATAATATTATCTCAAACTGCGGCACCTCAACAAGTTCCACCTGGACTTTCATCATTACAAGAAGAATTAACAGCTATAGTAGCTCAATTTTTGATACTTATTTCTCATAATCGAAGTGTATTTGGAGAATATTATCAAGAAATAGTTACTAATGCACTTATTAAAAAAGAAACTAAAAATAATAAAGATATGAGTGCAATTCATACCATGGACTTGTAAAACAATTAAGATTTTAAATTAATTTTTGTAAGCGAAATATATTATGTGTTCATAATATAGCACATTAATTAAAAAAATAAGTGATATATATATTTTAAAGTAATAATTCATTTGTTTTCATAAGTTAAGTTTCTTAACAAAAAAAAAAAAAAAGAAAAGATAAAGAATAAATATAAAAACAAAAACGTTATATAGAAAAATTTTGATATTGATATAAGTTATAAATGATACAATTAATTATATAAGAAAAAAATATGTATGAAAAGGAAAAAATTTTCACGTATATTACAACTAGTAATTATTTGTTTCTGACCGAATGCAATACATGTACAATAACTTATATTACCTATAAGTTAGGTATAACTTAATTTTTATTTTTGTAGCTATCATGATTAACTACAACTTACTTTTTATTTGGTGCTTTAATATGTTTTCCGTATATTATTTTAAGTATTGTATTCAAAATCAATATGTAACATATATTTGTATATACATACGAAAATTAAATCAATTTGTAATTAAATTTTATTCTATATTTTGAAATAACTGAAATTATTTATATTTTGTTTTATTACATTGAATGTAAAAATATAATATGTTATGATAAACTTTAATATACATACGCATTCTATTTTTTTTTTTAATAAAAACATATACTTTTATTTGTATTAGAAAATTATTATACTTATTTGTATTAGAAAATTATTTATTGTATATTATACAAATGATTTAAATATCAAGTATTGAAATAACAAAGATTAAAATATAAATTTATTATAATTACAATTGTATATATTTATTTATATTGTTCTATTACATACAGAAATATATATATAATTTTTCTAAGAAAAAAACATGCCTTATAAAATAATATCGAATACATTCGTATTTCAAAAATTAAAAACATAGCTTTAAATTTAAAAACATATATTGTTGAATCAATTTGTAGAATTTTGGAATACATTTTACAAAAAGCATCAATTCAAACAATGAGGAAAGATAGTGACACAATATCAAAGTCGTTATTAAAATCTGAAGTTACATTAATATAGAAGAATCAAGATGATCTCGGATTAAAGTGATTCAGCCTAAATATGTTTGCGAATTTATGGGATTGTTATTTAGTATGAAATCTTAAAGACATGGTTTTAAAGAATATACATGAATTTATATTAATTTAAATAGGACAAAGTTATAAATATATGTAACTTGTTAGTTATAAAATGTTTTTGATAATAATTTTTTATATTAAAATATTATTAATCTTTGAATTTTTTCTATGTTTAGTGTTACTTTTGGGTATTTGTAATAAAAGTAACATGATCTTCAAATATAGAAATATGTTGTTTTTTTACAAAATGTTTAAATCCTAGAAATTGTATTTTAGATAAATAAGAGTTTATATTATAAAATTATTCTATATATATAATAATTAAATATAAAATACCTATAAATAAATGAAACAATCCCTTATTTATGGAAAATAGATTTTGAAGTATGTTCAATAGTTCTTCCAAATTACCTACTTTTGTATAATTTTGTATTATTTTTGCAAATATTTTGTAATCAGTTTCCGATAAAGAACGTTTTACCTAATTAAAAAAAAATTAGTATAATATAAACTTCTTACTAATTAAAATTTATTTGTATGTATATATTTAGAATTACAACTATATTGCAAAATCATGCCTTACATATGATTATTATTTACCTCTTTCAAATACGCTTTGCCAAAAGCTTTTTTATCAGTATCATTGTTAGTTTCTTCAAATATTTGTTGAAAATACTTTGTATTGTCTGCATGTTCACTACAAGAAGAAGTTGAAGGAACAGATAAATGTTCGTTAACTTCTATTGGTAACATCTTTATTTTTCTTTTTTTTGTGGCTGGTTCACTGATATTTTTTGTTAATTCATAAATAGTATAATCATTTTTTAATTTACAGTCATTGAAATTAATTACAGGCTTTGATTCTGTCTTTAAAAGTTCAAATAAGTCCTTTTTTTGTGCTTCAATCAATTGTTTATCTTTCTCATCTTTCTTAGTATAATGATCAATATTGAAGGTATCTTCAGTTGGAGAATTTTCAATTTTTTGTTTTGAAGTAACTTTGACTGTGCGAGACATTATTGTATCAAATGATGCTGATAATGCTGGTAATGAAACATGACTATTTGCTGATTCTACATCAGTTAAGTTCGGTTGTGGAAACTGAAAATAATTATACAAAAATAGAAATATTCAAAAGCTTTTTTTTTTATAAAATTGAACTTACAGTGTATTTCGCATATCTAAAAAAATCTTTTAATTCTTTCACAATAATACCAAAAGAAGTGAAATTTTTTATATGAGGTCTGAGCCAAGTGGATAAAAGTTTTTTAAAACTTGGATTATCAAATCGACAGTCACAAAGAATTATAGCTCCATAATCATTTTTATGACGTATTATACGGCCAATGGCTTGATTAACAGCACGTGATGCTTCCAGTTGATACCACTGTTGACCAGACAAAGTCTAAAAAGGAATAAAATACATAAAATTAAAATACTTGATGAATATTTGATATCTCAATTTTAATTACCTCTTTATCTCGTTTTTTTATTTCCTCTAAATACCGCTGTTTTAATATAACTCTTGGATCTTTTAAAGGTGGAAATGGAAGACCTGTAATTAATACAGCTCTTCCATTTGCATTAGCAAAATCAAGTCCTTCGCTCACTTTACCTCTACAAACTGCCATGAAAATAGCTCCTTTAGAAGAGGGATCTTTAATTTTTTGATAATACTCATTCATAACATTTACAAAACCATCTTTGTATTGTGGTTCCACATATATAGGCTGATAAATATAAATTAATAGTATTATTATCTTTATTAATATCTATAACCGTTTGAATATAATTATTAAGGGGTAATTACTTTACGATCTGCAATTTTAGTCCACAAACCTGCATTTTGCCATTCTTCTTTACACTTTTTCATTATTGGATACGAAGGAAAAAAAACTAATAGACCATGAGGAATAAGACAACTAAAATTAAATACTGTTCGTCCAAGAGATGCTATATATTTTGGATCATTCCTAAAATACAAATTATGCCTCTTAAATGTAATATTATGGCAGTAATTATATATTGGATATATTAGGATACATATAGGATATTTAATAAAAATAATATCCTATATAATATATATATAATATTTAATAATACCTCGTATTAAAAGAAGAATTTAATAAATAACCATCAGGTCCTTGACTAAGAACACTGACACAAATTTGATCTCCTTTTACAATATGCGGATTTTCTAGTTGAATTTCAATTGGTATTCCAAGTTCAGATATGAAAGGTTTCAAAGGAGATAGTGTACCACTTGTTAATATTATTGAATGTATGCCTTGGTCCATTAATTGTTGCATACTTGTAATTAATTTTGTAATTAATGTATAAATATATCAATAAAATTTGTTCAAAATTAAACACAATAACAAAAGACTTACCTAAATCCAGGACTGAAACACCAGTAACTAATAACTTTGCTTTCATTTTTTAAAGGTAATTTTTTTTTTTCCCAAACTTCATTTTGTTTTGTTTTTTTCTGTTCCTCTAGTTGAATATATACTTTATAACATTCTTTGATCTTTTCTTTATAGCGTACACTATTACCATTGCTAAATACAGTTTTTAATAGATCACTGAATTTTTGAAGTGCATTACCTTTTCTTGTAAATGGAGAAATACTTGTAGTTGTTAAATAAAAAGCAATTTTCTCTAACTTCTCTATTACAAATTGTTCTTTGCCATGGGTTAACTGTTGAGTACATTCACTATTTTTATTTGCTTTACATGACGATATAGATTAGAAAATATTAATTGTGTACTTGTGCCTTCTCCAATAATTCAAAGATGTATCCACCAGGCAGTGTATCTCCCTCATCACGTTTTAGAATTTCTATTGCATCAATAGCTTTTTCTAGTTCTAGAAACATAGTTTTTAAAATGCACAAGTCATCCGCAGTAAAATCTTTTTGAGTATTTGTTGAACTGTCTATTAAAAAATCATTTTGTTGTTCAATATCGCTAGCCATATTTTCCATTACAGCTGTTATTTCATCAATGCACATTGCAATATCTGTACTACATATCTATAAAAATATAATAGCATAATTTATCTTTATATTTTACAAAATTCAATTTTTTTTAGATTTGCTTTCTACTTGCCATTAAATATAAATTGACTTAATACCTGTAATGAAGCTGCCTCTTCACATGTTTTCTCAATATTATGTGCTTCATCTAAGAGAATAACATTATTTTGTATATCTATACCTTGTGTTCTTCGTGATTTTGAATCTAGTAAATAATTATATGGCATAAAAACAATATCAGCATTTTGCTTAAGTTCTTTGGATAAGAAATATGGACAACATTTAAATTTTTGTCCAGCTTTTACTAAATCTTCTATGTCAAGTATTTCCTGTTTAAAAAAATGATCATCTTTCCTAAATTATATATTTTTTCATTAATATTTTTTATTAACGCACAAAACTCACTATCAAACATTGGCACTATGATTTTTACCTGTTTTCAACATTGTTGTAATATAAACATGTTCTAGATTTTATTTTAGAATGACACATGTATATCTTATTTGAACTATTGGTTTCTTTGGAAATTTCTGGATGAATACAAAGCTGATCTCTAGATCCTAAAACAGTTGCACTTAAATATTTGTACGAAGTCCTTTTTAATTCTTGCATTGCTTGTGAAAGCTGTGAATGAGTTCTAGACGCATAGATAATTTTCGGTGCTGTCCAATTAAAATTATTGACAGACACAGAATTTCCTGCACCTTCCTTAAGTTCATTATTTAATTGTTTAAAAAAATGTCCACTAAAATCAGGTTTCTCAATTGCACCAATTAATGATTGTGCTTGTAATTGAGCTTTCTTTGTCAATAACCAAGCTAAAGATGAACACAAAAGGCTGAGTGTCTTTCCAGTGCCTGTAACATTTTCATGAAGAGTTATAATATTTTAATTATATAATAACTTAATTATATATAACAACAACAAAACAAAAAAAAATGAAATAGTACCGGTTGGAGATTCCAAAACACCATTTTTATTATTTTGAAGACATTCTATCACTTTTGCCATATATTCCTCTTGTATCGGATATGGTTTAAAAGGGAAACTTACAATAACATTATTAATTGTCACGTCTGGCATTGTATCGTTATAAATTTTTCGAGACACATGAAATGTTTACAGTATAAAAAACGAGTAAAATATTAACATTCATACAACTATTAAGATCACGTTCGCGCCAAATTCTGAACTACAGCGCCTTCCAAATGATCCTTTATTTATGCATCTGTGTATATACAAATTCATGTATATTTGTTTCGACGCGTCCACATATAATTAATTTTTCTTTTTAGAATAATAATAAAAAAAAAATAGTAGTAAATATATGCATTTTTTAAATTTCGTAAAAATTGCATTTAAATAGTAAGAATAAAGAGACATTTTTATTTTCGATAAACACTTTTTATCGTGAATGAGATCACGTGCTAGGAACTTATCAGCCAGCTTGTTATACAAAGGAATTTATTTTTAAGTATCAACAATTTTATTTATAAACAAAATATTAAATCTTTTGCAAAGTAGCAAAAGTTCAAGATTAATTCAGTCATATATCAGCTGATTTCGTGCTGGGCGACGGTTATAAAAGCAGTTCTTAATTTTCCTCCTTTATCAGTATATATTTTTATTATGCTTCGTTTCTTCCAATAGGTACGCATCATTGCATCCTGCATTTGTCAGTATATTCAAATTTGTAATAATTAATTTATTGAAATTTAACTCAAACGATTTGTTTCGGAAGGCTAACAATCATTGGTTATTGACCTTTAAAATAAGCTACGAAAGATCATTCGACATTCTTGCATTTAAACATGCGCACTATATAGACACAATAAATACATATCCGAATAAGTTCTTAATAAGAAAACAGTATATTTAATAGATATATTGTTTCCTCCCTTATTATTAAAAATAAAAATTAATTGAAAGAACATACGAAGTAAGAATAAAATTTATGTTGAACCTATATTGATGAAATAAAATATTTCATACAAAAATAAATGTAATTTAAAACTTGAACGAAATTCTGATTTCAATATTCTTTGTCCAGATAAAAAGATCTCCGTCATAAAGATATCTCTGTATATGTATTTGTAGAAATTATCGAGAACTGTAAAATTATAGTGTATATAAAATTTATATGATTAATTGAAATATTAGTTATATTTTCGAAAGATTTTATAAATTATTTAAATGTTTGTACTTGTACTTGTTGAATGCAATTTACAATTTTGTGATTTTTCAGCTCAGTCAACATAATTTTAAAATGCGTTTAGTGATCTGTGATACAGCAGATTATGTGGCAGAATGGTCTGCTAAATATGTTTTAAAAAGAATTAATGATTTCCAACCAAATCAAGATAAATATTTTGTTCTTGGTCTTCCAACAGGTATGTATTTTTCATATATTATAAATGGAAAAAAATATTGAAAATTTATCAACAATGATTAGTAATAAATTTGTAATGACCAATGATCATTTTTAGGTGGTACACCTTTAGGAATGTATAAAAAGCTTATAGAATATTATAAGGCAGGAAAAATTTCCTTCAAGTATGTAAAAACCTTTAATATGGATGAATATGTTGACTTGCCCAGGGATCATCCAGAATCTTATCATTATTATATGTATAATAATTTTTTTAAACATATAGATATAGATCCAGAAAATGTGCACATTCTTGATGGTAATGCACCCGATCTTGTAAAGGAATGTGATGATTTTGAAAATAAAATTAGAGAAGCTGGTGGCATTGAATTGTTTATCGGTGGTATGGAATTTTATTAGTAAATTTTATTAGTAAATTCATATAAAAAATTAATTAGATATACAACAAAATGTTATATTGTAGGTATTGGTCCAGATGGTCACATAGCTTTCAATGAACCAGGTTCTTCTTTAGCATCACGTACAAGAGTAAAAACATTGGCTCAAGATACGTTAGAAGCCAATGCAAGATTTTTTGGAAATGATATTTCCAAAGTTCCAAATCAAGCATTGACTGTTGGTGTTGGTACAGTGATGGATGCCAAAGAAGTGATGATTCTTATCACAGGATCTCATAAAGCATTTGCTCTTTATAAAGCAATAGAAGAAGGGATCAACCATATGTGGACTGTATCAGCTTTTCAGCAACATCCTCGTACAATAATTATTTGTGATGAGGATGCTACTCTAGAATTACGCGTGAAGACAGTAAAATATTTCAAGGTATAAAAATGTAAATTTTTAAAAATTTTTGAAAATTACATTTAAAGATTTTAGAAGAATTCTAGAGATATTTGCACTTTAATTTAATTCATAAATTTTAAATTTGTAAAATATATGCAGGCTCTCAGTGCTACACATCAAAAATTAATTGAAGAAGATGGAGATGCAATCCTTCGTCGTTCAATACAAAACAATTAAAATGGTAGTTATCTTTTTTAACATTCCATACAACAAATTGCATACTGCAAATTTATAGGATTATGTACTTTCTATTTTGTTGCTCACAAATTTAAATAATTTGAATTAATAATATTTATAATTTGAATTAATAATTAATTAATAATATTTCATCATGTTACTTAAAATATTATATTTTCATTATAAAATTATTTATGTGAGAAATAGATATAAACCGTGATGTAATAAAGATATAAAATATAAATCGTGTTGTAATAAAGTAAAATATATTTAATAGTTTAATAATCTAAAATATATTATTTTTGTAAAGTAAAATATCTTTAATAGTTCAATAATCTAAAATATATTATTTTTTATAGAATTTGTGGAATATCCAAAGTAAAGTTGACTAAAATGGGAAAATATTGATTTAAAATAATATAAAATAATATAAAATATTATTGTTATACATATATAAAAATGCATACAGCCTTGTATAAAAAGGATTTGAATGCACGTGACGAATTTTTTAAATTACATAATGTATATATGCACATTATGTGAACCAATTGATATGAAAATTTTATAAAATATAAGTATATATACTTGTTTCAATAAAACAGAAATTATAATATTGTTATTGTTCCATTGTTATATCTTTTCAGAAATAAACTTATTTTTTTTATCACAAAATTTGTCTAGTTTCGTTTATTTATTAAATTAACATCTTCCTTATTTTTGCTGTATTTTATTAAATTTGTAGTAAATTATTGTACGTATTAAAAAATTTCTTAACACATATAGAGAATACTAAGGAAATAATTAATACAATAAGAATAATTAGAAGAAAAAAAGCTTCATAAAGAGAATTTATTTCACAATTATACATATAAGAAATAATAACTTCACAATGTTTTTTTCATTTAGCCTGTTATATTTAATTAAAATTTAAATAATTATTTTTTGAATTCAAATTTCAAAAATTAAATATATATTTACATATTAACTTATAAGTGTAATTGTTATCCCTGAATATATGTTGATTTGCCTTTAGATTTTTTTATTCGATAAAACAAACAACTATGGCTTAATTAAAAGAATATTTTTAATTGACAAATATGTCTGAGTATCAAAGGATAAAAATAAATTTAAAATAATTTTTAAGCAGTCACATAAATCAAAAGATTTTGTAGAGAAAACACGGGCTTATATTCTAAAAGATTGATTGAACATTTTTGAAATCGAGGACTAAACTAGCGGCAACAAGTGGAAGAGATCATGCGCGATCATTATCACGATGAATATAGATAAAAAATATAAAAGATAACTCAAGGCAATACTTTGAGATTGTATTGTTTCGCGAGGAAAAAATTGTTGATATGTGTGTGTGATAATACGCACGTTGAGGTAATTGATAAGAAAGTTAATCTTACGATCTTGTCAGTAGTGGATCTTATAAATTCAATCAATATTTAAAATCTTTACAAATTGTCCCGCAGAGTTTCTCTTTCCGGTTGTGCCTGATTGGATCGAAAATTTATTACTCAATCTATTACTCTTTTTCTTTTCCATAACAATGAACAACGAAATATTTGAAATGAAAAAAGTTGTACTTCGTGACATCGAGCCAGTTATACGCCAGAGGATTGGGGATGATATGATCATTGAAAATTTTAGCAGCAAATCACTATTACCTCCTGGAGAAAATTATGGAAGTTCGATTTTCAGTGTTGAAGTTGAATTGAAGAATAAAATTACTGAAAAAAAAGAGAATCTTTATCTTATTGCGAAGATGTGTCCACCAACAGAATATCAAAGACAAATTTTCAATAGTTCTCGTACATTTATGAAAGAAATCTTTATGTACGATACCATATTACCAGCGTATAATAAGTTGGAATTGGAGTGTGGATTAAAAAAGAACGAGATATTCGAAATTTTGCCGAAATTTTATGGGTCCAGGCTGTCTTTAAAACCAGATGGAGATTTTGACGATGATGCTGTCATTTTTATGGAAAATCTGAAAGTCAAAGGTTACTATACCGGTGATAGAAGTTTAGGTATGTATACATATTTTACAAATGAAGAAATATATTAAATTAATCTTCTTAATCTGTTGACTATTTGCTACTAAATTTCAATCGTTGTTACCATCTGTGGATCAGTGGGGAATGTATAGAAGTATTACAAAGTATTTCCGATTGTATAAAAACAGATATGTCATTAAACAAAATAGTTATATTAAATCAATTTTTGTAACATACTAATTTATTAATTCAGTAATTTTTAGTAATAATGATAGTAATTTTTAACTTAGTAATTTAATAATTTAGATAATAATAAGTAATAGATATAGTAATTTAGGTAATAATAATATAGTAATTTAAATAAAGTAAATAATAATATAGTAATTTATATAATATAGTAATTTAGATAATAATAAATAATAGATGTAGTAATTTAGGTAATAATAATATAGTAATTTAAATAAAGTTATTGAATAACTTAAGAAACTATACACACATCTGTAACAATGACAAAAATTTGGATTAATAATAATAATATAGGATTAATAATAAAAGACGATTTTTTTGGTATAATGTTATCGTTTCTATAAAATTATGTATTGTTTTAAAATGTAGCTATCTTTTTTTTTATCGTATTGTAATACACATTTTACGTTTATGCTTTTGTTAGAATGTAGTTTCAACATTTAAGTTCGAACAACATTGAGTTTAATGATCGTGTTATTTATACATTAAGAAAACAGGTGAAAGATATATTTTAAAAATAAAACAATACCAATAACGAATCTTCGTTTTAAAATGAACAACACAATCATTACAACATGAAATATTAATAGTTCGATATTATATTTTTAATATCATGCAAATCAATTTTTGGTATTTTTTAAAATCGGTTAAGATTATCAGTTATTTATAGGATGGTTTGAAATAGTTTTCGTCTTATGAAGAAACGAGAAATATTGGCATATTTGCTTATGAAAATTAGTTTTAATATAAATTCTGACACAAAATGTTATTGACATGAAATAAAATTTCATAGATACGTTAAATTTAATAGAATCTTAAAAATATAATAGATACGTTTAATTTAAAAATTTAATAGATACGTTGAAATCTTAAAAATAAGATAAGAAATTTAAAAATTTAATAAACATGTTACAATCTTAAAAATGTATATACATTTCTTAATTAAAAACAATTTGTTATACATTTATATATTTACGATTTATAAATTTATATATTATTAATTACGAATAATATTGTTTGATTATGTTCCTACGATTACAAGAAATGTGTGTGCGTGCGTGTGTGTGTGTGCGCGTGCGTGCGTGCGTGCGTGCGTGTGTGTGTGTGTGTGTGTGTGTGTGTGTAATTATCTGATATTTATCGATAAGATTTTTTACTTTGATATTTTCGCTGAATCATGTATATGTTCTTGACGATCTAAAATTATTCTTAATTCTCTTATTACACGACGAGAATCAAAAGTTTATGAATAAAATTGATTAGAATTTTAATAATCTTTCAATCAAAATTTTCTTTATTTCGATTTTCTTATACAGGCTCGATTTATGATAAATAATACATTAACAAATAAATGTATAATAATATAATAAATTTGTAATAAATAAATATAATAATAATACAAAGATGATAATGATAATATAAAAGATGGGCAACGATCAAATAAATTTTTTTTTAAATGTGATTGAATTTTTAAAAATTTTAATACGTATTTCGGAAAATATTTGTATTTATGAAATAAAATTTTATTTAACTATATATAATGTTTGATAATTTTATATAGGTTACGATTTAGAGCACGCAGAGGAAGCAGTTAAGGCTTTAGCGAGATTTCATGCTTTAGGAATGGCTACGAAACAGAAAAGACCTGGTATCTTCGAGGTATTCAAGATGTACGCAAAACCTTTACAAAATGCGGAAATTAACACGGATAATATGTTCGTAATTGTGCTCGATCAGATAAAAAAAGATCCAGAAATAAGTCCTTATTTCGAAAGATGTGAAAAAATTTTAACAGGATTGACGCCGGAAGACATTTGGTCAGATTCTTTTCAAGAACCATGGACGACCATCATTCATTCTGATTTCTGGGTGAACAATGTGATGTTTCGTCACGACGAAAAAGGAAAAATTAATGGCATAAAATTCGTCGATTTTCAAATATACCTTTATGGAAGTCCTATACGTGATTTGATATTTTTTCTTTACTCTAGCGTTAAAAACGACACGACAGAGGAACAAGTCGAGGATCTGATGGATCTGTATTACGAAACTTTGATAAACACGCTAAATAAAATGAAATGCAATACGGATAAGTTTACCAAAGAAGGATTTAGAGCAAAAATGGCCGACGATGGAGAACGTGAGTTCCTCCACGTAGCTTTCATGATAAAGATGCTTACGTTGGATACGAAAGAAATTAATGAGTTTGATGTGGACAAAATGCATGCAGTAATAGTGGAACATACTGGAAATCAATTATTCCAAGAACGACTACGAAGATTAGTACTCTGTTTTGTTAAACGAAATTGGATATAAAAAAAATTACTACGACGAAGGTGAAGCCTTTTTCTACAAAATGCCTTCGTATACTTAATTATAGCATTGATTTTTGGAATGATCGTATCCGATTGTTCGATATCACAATAGATATATATCATACCGTTTTCAATGATTAACTCATTCTATTATCTGTAGTATATGAGGAAATATAATCAGTTTAATCAAGTAAGGTTCACTAAAATAAATCAATCGAATTTTACAATAATATCAAATATAAATAATGGAAAAAAAGGAAGAATTTGATTGAAACAGACCAAAAATTAATAAATCAATGATAAAGGATGAACTCATAAACAATCATTTGATTTTTAAATAGATATACAAGTATATAAATTTCTTTGATAAATTATTTTCAAGAGATATAAATGTATTTTTTTATATATAAATGTATAAAGATGAAAATAAATAATTTCTTAATATGTCAAACAAATATTTAAAAATTGCATATTAACGACACACAGGAAATACATATTTTTCATCATTACAAAACAAAATAAAATAAATTAACAAAATTTTTTGAAATAAAATGTGTGTATCTTACTGAGTTTACATGGAGATTAGTTTTGTATACATAAATGAACATTTGTTTCACATAACTGATTTTGATACATATATAACATTTTTAAGATAAACTAAAAATTATTTGAATTTTATTTGCATTACATAATTTCTTTCAATTATACCAAGAATAAAAAGGATCAAAAGAAAGAAATATGATCTATAAATGAATTTAATTTACAATTTTTTGACATGTTTATTAATTGAATTTTATTTAAGTGAACTTTGATACAGTGAATTATTCTTATCAAACATTGTCTTATCAAAATCTCATTTCATTTCATTTATCATCTTGATAAGAATTGGTATGGAATTTCAATTCTTTTTTTTTTTTTTTGATAATATAACGTTGAAAAGAATGACTAGTAATTTATTCATTTTTGGATAACAACGTTATGAAAAGAATAACTAATATTTATACAAAATTAACATTTAAATGAAGTATTTTTAATGTTCACATTAATTTCAATACATTAAAAAGATTATGAATCATACAATGTTCCTTTTATAAAAGTTTTATTTTCAAATAAATTTTATATTTATTAAAATAATATAAATACTATACATATAAATGAATACTATATAAAATAAAGATTAATACAAAATAATAGGGATGATAATGAAGAAAAAGAAATTACTAATGCAACCTTGTAAATTATCTAGTAATAAAATATCGCGAATTGTTATAAATATAAGTATATATCTTTATTGCTTTCATAGAATAATAATTTTATATTATTATGAAACGATGACAGTATAGAATTAATCAGTCAAAAAACTTAGAAAAATCGAGATAAAATAAGATAAAACGAATCAAATTTAACGTATAAATTATTGGTAAAATTTATACTATTCTGTGAGCATAGATAATATTAATTTAGTTAGATCATATAATATGAAATTACAACTATGTATCTTCTTCTTATTAAAAGAAATATAACTGCTCTTTTTTCTAATATTTTAGAAGAATTTGTAATTTCTTGCTGTTGTTTAATATTTAATATTTTTAATGGAAATTTCCAAGTTATAAATAATAATATTGTTATTCTAAAAATAGTAGTATGATTTATCAACAAAATAATTTCTTTAACATGATACATGAACATGAACAAAAATTTAATCTTCTAAACGTTAATCTACACATATCAAAACTGCCAGAAAAACTGATATAGCAATCAAAATTTTAATGCATGATAATATATCAATATATCAATTTTTATTTTAATATTTTTATTTATACAATAATATAAATAGTCGTGTACATATAACTATAGCTGTACTTATATAATGTGGCCTTCTATTTAAGGATAAAATTAATTATATTGAAAATTTTGTTTTGAAATAATATTGGATACGAGTTATTTAAGAATTATAAAATTTGCATTTTAAATGCAAATATACGAATGATTAATAATTCTTTTTTATATTTAAATAAATAAACAGATGCTATATTTAATAAACAGTATCTATTCTTAATATTGGTCACATACTAAAGATTTTTTTGTTTTTATATTAAAAAAGTAATAAATAGATGATTGTAATATTTAAACATTTTTCATATTAGGTATATTTAATATTATTTTTTTCGCACTTGATAATTAAAATTCGAACTGATTCTAACAATATATCTATTTAAATTCATATGCATATATTAATAAAATAAAAATGGATCTATATGATATGACGAAGTAAAATTATCATTACATCCATTTGAAATTTTATACTAATTCGTATTACATACAAAAAAAAAAAAAAATAACAGTAAAACATTCTATGAAAGATTTACTTTCTAATTTTGTTTGATATCGAAAGATATATACGTACATATCTCCAAAGACAAAATATGATTACGTATTTAATTCCTGATATCTGATAAATCTTAATATTTTAACGTAAATATCACTGTAATTAATAACTAGTGATAAAGTTATTTGGTGAATGTTATTTTGTGATTTTCACTTACGAATAAGAGAATTGTAAATTCTAATTGAAATATAAAAATTTTTATTTAGAGGACATGTAACAGGATAAGTTAGGAAAACATTCTCTTTTTACAATGTTTTTTTTTTTTTATAGTGGAAAAAGTAGTTAATGTAAAATTAACTAATATTAAAAATGTAATACTACAATTGTATTTCTGATTTTTTTTTGTTTTAAATGAAATCATTGTAAAATTCATTGATATGAGAAATATAAAGTATATTTAATGTAAGAAACACACATACACACACATTATATACATATATTAAATATGTTTCTATGATAACAGATATCGCAATTAATACCAATTTTGCTAAGAAATAATTGTCATTAATAATTGTCTTTTAACTGAAATGTCGAAAAGTTTATGAATTCAAAGTTCGCTTCGCGCTAAACTTGAATTTATTGTACACTATTCAAAGTTCAATAGAATGGCGACAAAAAATCGCACGTCAAGCTTCGAAAAGTCATTTTAAAGGAGAAAGTCCAATCTTTAGGTTTAGGTTAGGTATGGACTCAGTTATGAAAAAAATTTTCTAATGTCCGTAAAGGCATTTGAACTTGAAAAATTTTCAAAGAAAAGATATTTTCATTTTGTTTTTGAAAAAAACAAAACAATGAAACATTTTGAAAGTAGAGCCCAGGTTAATGCTGTACAATTTTTTTTTCACAAAAGTATAATAGTTTAAATATCAGTAACTTCTAGCATAAATTCAAATGCCTGAATCTTATGCATTTCTTGGGAATATATATTTAATTTCATTAATTTCACTTTTTCTGTTAATTAAATATTTTGCTATTCATACAGTATCAAGGAATTGTATAAAAAATTTCAACAAAGTATAGTTATTATAGTTAATAAATTATGAATTAATGAATATTGAATCCGAAAAGAACAGAAAGAATAAAAGAACGGAACGTTATGAAAGGAAATTAAATTTATATTTAAATATGGATTATTATTTTGAATTTAATAATTTAATTACAAAAATTTTAAATTACCAAAAAAACAAAAGTTTTTGAAATCGTATGCAACAATATGCATTTAGGTGGTAAAATAATTTACGTACATATAGAGTCTATTTCTGCATTCATATATTTCTACATGTATATTTATACGCAGTAGTTCATGCGTGCTTACGATGGAACGAGAAGTTTCTTAGTGGTTGAGACCACTTTTTTTTTAGTTTTTCTATATTTTTATAAAAGTTTTAACCAGATTTTTCTACAACCAGTCGTATCACGAAATACAATTCCATAATCGAAATAATGAGTTTCTTCATAAAGCAGAAATTTTATAAATTAATCCTGTTTATATGGCTTACGTCTATTCTAACCTTATCTATTAGCGATGAAATTAAAACAGATGGTGATATGACTCTGATGTTGACATTAAATACAAACTTTACTGATAGAAATTCCAAAACTGAACATCGAACTTCTTCGCTGATTCAATTTATGCCTGAATCTGTTAATTCTACTAAAACACGAAATGTATGTAGTAATGTATTATGTAGTAAGCATTTGACAATTATTAAACACATAAGTAATTATCTTGAAACTTAAATTACACTATTTAGAAGTTGAACAGTATGTTTGATATATTCAATATTTTTCTGTTTTGAATAAGCTACCTATAACAACAGCAAGTAAATATATAACTGAAATATGTAAATATTATTTCAGAAAAATGCCACTCCTTTAATTGCAGGAGAAGGTGGTCCAATTCCAATTGTTTCTATTATTAAACCAATACCTACTGAGTCATACAAATACGTAACAAATGTTGCTGATAATTTAAACATACAAACTAATTTATTGAAAGATGATGACGTTTCAGATGTAAAAGAAAAAAACATCACTTCTAAAATTATATCAAGAAAAGGAGCAATAAATAATGTTTCTTCCAGTAAAATAATATTATCTGATGATACAAAGTCAATAATTAAATCTTCAACAATAGCAAATATTCATAATATCGAAAAGATTGTTAATGATTTAAAGTCAAATGTTACTGAGAAGTATATAAGCAATGCTTCAAGTATTACTGTAAATAATATTTTCCATTTTACAAATACGACGCCACAAAGATTATCAACTAATGTTCCTATAACACCATCATTAATTCAAGAACATAAACCTAAACCAACTGCAACAGTAATAGAACCTAATAGTGATAAACAAGCATTTATACCTCGTACGAAAGGTTCCCATTTAGGAATGCCAAAGAAAATTGATTATGTTTTGCCAGTTATTGTTATTCTTATAGCCCTGCCAGTTTTGGGTGCTATTGTTTTTATGTTGTACAAACAAGGTAGAGATTGTTGGGACAAAAGACATTATCGGCGAATGGATTTTCTTATTGACGGAATGTATAATGATTAATATCTACAAATATTATATCATTTAAAAAATTAAATTATAATGTTAATTTCATATATGCTATATATAACAACTGAATATACTATTCTGTCATTATAGCTGCAATGAAGATATATGTTTCATTCACAAATATCTATTTACAATTTTTTAGTTTTATTACAACATTTGTATATATATTTTTTATATTATATTTTATATATTATTATTATTCTACTACTCTGATATGAGATTCATTATTTTGTTATTATTTTCGTTTATTAATTGTATGAAATTTGAATATTGATTTGTAAATTTAGACAAATGGTGCTTAGAAAGGTTAATATGGAAATAATAAGAAATTTATAATTATAGCAATGACAGTTTTTTATAAATCTTAGAAATGAAGTAGTTTTGAAATAATTTTAATCTCATTTTATAAGATAATTATTGAAGTGTTTATAATACAAGTGTATAAGTAAGAAGATGTATATTAAAATAATTATTAAGATTAGTAGTTTTAATTAAAAGATTTCATCAAATGATTTATTACTAGTTTATAAATATCAGTGAAAGTTTTTGATAAAAAAATTAATATATTGAGAATTTAATTATGAAAATGATATATAATAATATCATAATTTTTTTTAATACTTGAAGTAAATTTTGTGATATAATATAAAAGATGTTTTCGTATGTTAAAAACACGTTAAAAATTTATTTTCCCTATTTTCACTTAATTTCCTTTTCATTAAAATTTGATTGTATTTCTTAAATGTATTAATGCTCTTCATATTAATTTACAACTTATGAAATAGTAATATCTAATATCTGATTCGAATAATTTCAATTTATTTATTTAGGTGTTGTATCTTATAACTTTTTCATTTATATTTTGGGAAATATATGTTTATATAAAATAATGATTAATGCTACAAAAATTGAGCCTTCTGAAATTATTATATTATAGAATACATGCAATTATTTTATTTAAAAAAATTTCAGAAATTGTTATTACAGTAATGGAATTTTATGAATTTTCTTGTTTATTTATTATTTATAAAATTTGTTATTTGTACTATGTTAATAAAGTAATAATTATTTATATATACATATGTAAATATATGTAGTATATAAATGTGTAAAAAAATCGTTATATTCTTATAAAATATAAATGCTTTTAACTAAAAACATTTGATTATTTTTCATATTTATATATTACATTTCGTATGAAAGAAGATCCATAGTTTCAATTTTTATTTTTTATTAATAAGCTTGTTATATAGGTACATAAAATTATCTATATTAGCATTATATGTAAACTATAAAGTTTATACTGACAAAGAATAATGTAACTATTTCATATAACAATTATTAACAAATTATAGGACAATTATAAATATGACATATATAATTTTCTTTTGCATAAAAAAAAATTTATATGTAAAGAAGAAATATAGATGAAGCTTCAATTCCGTAATTTGTGTTTTTAATATATGCATAAGTCTGATTAGAGAAAAATATTGTTAATATTAATGTTTTTAACATATTTTTAAACAGTTTGTTTTATTTTGCAAATTTAAAGCTTTGAAGTGCATAACTTTTATGGCTTATAATAATCTACAGTAATTATAATTTTTACTGTAATACTAAAATCGTAATTTCACCTTAGATTAAATTTATTGCTTTTATTATCGAATTAAATATAAAAATAGCAATTGTCACAAATAGTTTTCTTAATGTTGTAATTTCAATACAAACATAATTTTGTCAAGTATGTAGATGTTTCCAGAATATTGCTATGTTATGTAATTATTAACAAGGTAATGTCCAGATGAAATATCTGATATATTTCTAAATTTTCCAATAGTGTATTCGTCGTAAAAAAGATATTCTAATAATCTAAAATTCACCCATTAATGTTATGATAAAATTCTTATAATATCAGAATTTTCTGTTTATAGATTTAAATTAAAAAACGAATGTAATGAATGTAATTATAAGTTTAGAACGATCTTTTTTATATCTGTTTCATTAAAATTTCGTTAAAATACTTCACAAAATTACATTTTTCGTACAAAAAAAATTGTTAATAACATTACAATCACCATTGTAAAGTTTATAATAAATTGCTAATACAAGTTAATAATAATAAAAAATTGCAGTTTTAATAATGAAAAATAATAAGAAAAATGTACGTGATAGACGAACGTCAATCATTGAAAAATGTTAACTTCTATTACACCTTGTTAATTAATCAATTATTCTTAATGATTAAAATAAAATATAAAAGAAAAAAAAATACTACAAATATAGAAATACTTTATACTGCATTTTCATATTAAACATATCATATTGAACTTTTTTATTTAATCACGAAGTTCAATAAAACTTCCTACTTAGATTTATACTTTACTTCGTCAGGGAAAGCTTCTCTTGGTGGAACCAAACTAAGCATCATTACATGACGTTGGTAAGCTCTGGAATTACGAAATTGCGTGTCTGTTCCGTGGATTCGATCCAATACTCCCAAAACTCCAAAACACTGATTAAATCTAAAATGCAACAAATTCAGTATTTAATATTTATTTTATATAATATTAGTAATATTAAATATATTAAACTTCCATACAAAATATAGTTATACCGGTAGAGATTATTTAATATTAATCAAAAAACAAAGAAATTATTTTATAAGAATGAAAACAGTTCAATTTACTTAACATTAAAATAAATATATAAATATATAGAATATATGGAAATTACTTACTTTAAGTGGTGAAAATCGTGAGCTTCTGGAGATGGAAAGAACGGTAGATGATAACCAGAATGAGCATTTAATGTAGAAAGAATAGCAAGCGAAAACCAAAGCCAAGCAGTAGCCACATGAGAACCTACGATGAATACTCCCAAAAACGGTGGTAATAGATTTGAGCCAATGTGTTCTAAAGGGTGGCAATATAGCGATGTTACAGCTATGGGAGCCGTCCATTCGTGATGCTGCTTATGTATATACTTATAGAGATAGCGGCTATGTAGAAATCTGTAATGTAATTTTACTTTTACGTAAGTTTACTTACACCTACACAGATATATAAATGATACTACAGATATATAAAATGCTACGTAAAATACACGTATATACTACAGAGAATCATTTACTCAAATGTGACTTTAATTGTTCTGTAAGATAAGTTAAAAATTATTTTTTATTATTTGAAAAATTATAATAAATCTTAACCAAATACTAGATAAAAAATTATGTAAATTATTATATTAAATGCATTTATTTAGCATACATAAATGCGTACATTTAGCATTAATCTATACCTACGTTAATGTATTATTCTTTAATTCCTTTAAGCAATACACAGAATGTTTTATTTTAATTTCC